AATGGAACCGAGTCCCAGAACGGCGCTGGTATGGAAGTGGACGAAGAGCTCTAAGCATGTATTAAGCTTCTGACCAACGTATAATATCTGTCTCTGAATGCATACCACGAGTGAAAGCGATTTTCTTCTTACTGGACAGGTTTCATGTGCGGAGACGGACGATAGAGTCTTGAGTTTTGGCAGTTACCAGCTACGAATGATGTCAACGTTACAGTGGCGATCTGAGTCGTGTGGACGCTATGGAAAGAAACTCATTGCAGAATGACTTCAAGTCGTATAACTGCGTAAACCATGAAATCGCTAACCAATCTAAAAATATCTAATCTATGATGCGAAGAATGTCCGTATATGTTGAGCACATCTCACAGCATCAATCCGCCTCGTTCCGAGTCTGCGTATATTGTACAGTATATATGCGTGCGTGTGTGTGTATATGTATAGATAATCGTCTCTCGTCACGATTCGACAACCGTAGCCGTCTCCGGCATGAGCGTCTCCGGTATAAACCCCGCAGGCATCATGGCCTTCAAGCGAGCGAGCTGCTGTGCCCGGTGTTCCTCCGCCTTGGCTTCCTGGGCCTTGAGACCGTAAGCGTCCTCGTCGAACTCCTCACCGTCGTAATCCGTCCATCCGCGGTCGGGGCCCCAGGCGATCTTCTTCCGCGCTGCGCGCGCCTCGTGCAGCAGGCGCTTCATCAGGCCGCCGCTCTTGCGCACGGAGGGCCAGGCGTCGAACTCGACGTACTCGAGATTGGGCAGCCGGGCCAGGACCTCGTGCAGGATGTTGCCGGAGAAGTTGGTGTAGAAGTCGCGGGAGATGCGGAAGCCCTCGAAGACCGGGTGCGAGGGGTCGACCTCCAAGAACACCTTCAGGGTGCGGATGCGAACCATCTCCTCCAGCCCCAGGGACGGGGTGACGCGCCACGCGGTCGGGGGGTCGGTCCAGCTGGAGCCCAGGATCAGCTCGATGGTGGCGATGGAGGGCCGGTACTGCGGCGCGATCGCCCGCACCGTCGGCATCTTCGAGTAGTCCTGCAGGTGGAACAGGCGGAACACCTGCGTCGAGTAGAAGTAGTCGGCCGCCTCGTCGTGCAGGCGCCGCGACGCCAGGAAGAGCGCGATCCGGTGCGACGCCGGGGCCAGCGGCGGGTTCTTCTTCGATGAGGCGCCCACGCTGCCCGCCGCGCGCACCGTCCGCCGCCGCTTCGGCGTGAACAGCACGTAGTGGTAGACGCGCAGCCGGATCTCCGAGGGGAGGTCGAAGAAGCGGAAGGGCTCGATCGCCGCTTTGCCTTTCTTCCGTTGCGGGCGCAGGTTCTTCGAGCCCTTGCTGGGCGGTGGTGGTCGTCGCGCACCGCCGCCCAGGTTTAGTTTCTCCAGGTCTCTGGAGAGGGACGAGGTCATCTTGCGTCGTCGGGAGGACCAATCGATATATGTATGTGGTCGAGTTTTTGTGTTCTAAGGTTTGCGGCCGAAAACAATGGGAATGTTTATGCGGCACGATACGAAGAATAAAAAAGCAGAGATCTTTTTTTAACCGAGATAATGCAAGCTTCGGTCATCCATCGCTACATTTAACGACTGGGTTCATAGGTTGACATGACCCTGGATGGACGCGGATGCAAATGGATCGGGTCGCTGACAACAACTACTTAGCCGAGGAGGCGAAATCAATCAAGAGGATTATATCCCACTAACGGGGCTGCAGCTGCAGAGGAGACCTTTGCTGCGGCTCTTGGGTGTGGGATTGAAGCAGAACTTCATTGGTCTCCCCAGCTAATACAACCCGGCATGCATATAATTGGCACGAAGGGTCAAATTTGTGGACTGGGTTTCAACTTTCATTTGGTTAAAGAAGAAAAAGAAAAAAAGGGGAAAGAATTGGCAGGAGACGGAGGATTTTATATGGAGAAATAAGCTGCGTTGAAGGGCTCTGTCGCCACCCGGAGCAGTGCTGGTCCGTGCCTTGAACTTTTTTGCAGTGACGGAGGGAGAGAAGAGAGAGAGAGAGAGCTTGCCAGTGCAAGTGCAAGTGTTAGTTAGCGTCCGTCTTCTCCGCCGCCGACCTCTGCCGATTTTCCTAAACTTGACCAGACACTTTGGATCATCGATTCTTGACCCTGCCATTCTTCTCATCCCACATTGGTCTTTCTATTACCTGCCGTGTGCTGTGTGCGCTCTGCGGTGCATGTGTAAACTGTCTATCACCATCCATTTCTAAAATCCTTCCATCGATCCTCCTCCCCCATCCATTCATAATGCTTAGCCGGGCCGTACTGCCTCTGACGAGGCCTAATATCCTCGCTTCAACTGTCCGTGCTTCAACCGTCACAGTCCCTCACTCGCGCTGGTATGCAAAGAACAGCAAACCGAAATCTTCCTACAACCTTCCCGACTCCATCAAGGCCTCGCAGGCCAAGCAGCCCTCTCAGGCTCCGGCTCCCAAGCAAGAAGACAAGCAAGCAGATTATTCCGCAGAGCAGGCCGAATTTGATACCAAGGCCGACCCGCAGAGCAATGCCTCTTCCCAACAGACCTCCGTGAGTTGCGCCGCATCCTATTGATAGTAAAGCCCGTTCAGCTGACCAGTGTGGCTCTACTAGCCTGAATCACACGCACCCGAAGAAAAGGAACTCCCTCGCCAGCCCCTCCCCGACCTTACCCAGGGTATCCCCTCCACCCTCGCGGCCGAGTTGGAAGCTCGCCAGACCGGTCGCCCATCTACCACTCTGAACCTTACCGAGGACCCCTCCCGCGCCGAAGACTACGCCGAAGATGAGGGTCGCGGCGATAAATCCAAAGACCACTATACTTCCTCCCTCGACCGCAAGCGCGCCCGCATGGCCAATCTGTTCTCGGCGCTGTTCTTGCTGGCCGGTGCTGGTGGAGTGGCTTACCTGGGCCGGAACTGGGAGAACGAGTTGGAAGAGAAGGCTCACCCCGAGACTCCGTCCGGTTGGGGACTGGGACTGTGGTATAACCGCGCCAAGGCCCGTCTCGGTGACATCACCAGCTACTACAAGGACCCGGCCTTCCCCAAGTTGCTGCCGGACGAGGACCCCAACATGCGCCAGCCCTACACTCTGGTGCTGAGTCTGGAGGACCTGCTGGTGCACAGCGAGTGGAGCCGCGAACATGGCTGGCGTGTGGCCAAGCGACCCGGTGTCGACTACTTCCTCCGGTATCTGAACCAGTACTACGAGCTCGTCCTGTTCACCAGCGTGCCCAGCATGATGGCCGACCAGGTGCTCCGGAAGCTCGACCCCTACCGCATCATCCGCTGGCCCCTGTTCAGAGAGGCCACCAGATATAAGGACGGTGAATACATCAAGGTATGACGCAATTGACTCGAGCTGGCTGTTTTCCATCCTCCTCACTAACATGGACTGCATAGGATCTGTCATACCTGAACCGTGATCTCTCCAAGGTCATCCTTCTTGACACTAAGGAGGAGCACGCTCGCTTGCAGCCCGAGAACGCTATCGTCCTTGACAAGTGGCGTGGCGACCCCAAGGACAAGACCCTGGTCGCCTTGATCCCTTTCCTGGAATACCTCGCCGGCATGGGCGTTGAGGATGTGCGCCCCGTCCTCAAGTCCTTCGAGGGCTCATCTATCCCCGTCGAATTCGCCAAGCGTGAGAAGGCCATGCGCGAGCGCTTCGAGCAGGAACTCGCCGAGGAGCAGAAGCGCCGCCCCCGGAGTGGTCTGGGCGGCTTCGCCTCCGCTCTGGGTCTGAAGTCCAACCGGACTCTGGACGGCGAGCAGAGCCCCGCGGAGGGCCTGGCCCAGGGTAAGATGCTCTGGGACCAGATCCGCGAGCGCGGCCAGAAGAACTACGAGATGATCGAGAAGGAGATCCGCGAAAACGGCGAGAAGTGGCTGGCCGAGATGGCCGCCGAGGAGGAGAAGGCTCGTCAGGAACAGATGGCCATGATGAAGGGCTCCTTGACCGGCATGTTCGGTGCTGGTGGTGACAAGAAGCAGTAAGCAAAAAAAGTGAAACCGATCATCACTTGCTTGTGTTTTTGATCGCAGGAGCACTCTTTATGAGAGCGGGTGCTTGGGTTCTATACGAGCGGCACAAACGAGCTTTCTCTCTCTGTCTCTCTCCTCTTCTTTTTTTCGTGTCTTGTCTTCCTTCTCCTTTTATAATCTACGTATACCTAGGGTACACTGTTGTTACTGTTGTTCTCGGGACCGGGGTTTTCATGTTGTGTTTTTTTTTCTCTCTCTCTTTCCTTAGAAGCAGGGGTTTCTGTCCCGCGCACCCATCCTTTGATCACGGGTTGATTGTAAAATAGCATACTTTTTTTCCCCGTTGTTGTTGTCCATCTAGGAGGGAGGTTATGTATAAATTGGAAATAAAATCCTAATCATATGCATGGTTTCTGTATTACCTGCGCGTAGAGGGTAAGCTGAATTGCACGGTAGGTCTTACCGATGGTGTCGACCCGATGAGCTGAAGTATATATTTCCGGCGGCCCACCCAGGTCCCTGTAACCATTTGGCTGCCGAACCGCCAGATTTCCGCAATCGCAAAACAATCGCAGCGGCACTCGAGCTTCGATGCCATAAAAGGTATGCATGTTTGTAGTATTGTTCTTCTCTCTAAGCAGAAAGAACCCGCAACACAGCGACAGCAGCAGTAACTATGCACTCACTGCCTCAATGGGTATATTCTAAAAAAAACAAGACAAAACAAAACAAAACAGAAAGCCTCTCCTCCCCTCTTCCCTCCTTTCTCCTTCCACCCCATCCTCCACATTCACCCTCCCTCACCCTCACTTTCGACTCTTTTGTTGAAAAGACAGAGGGGAAAAAAGATCAAGTAGTCGAAAGGGATGAGGTGGGTATCCATACTCTCGTTGAAAAATGAGCATGATTTGGTAGTGATCATTCAAAAAAAAAAAGAAAATCAATGAAAAACCTGGGGTAGTCGATTACATAGAGTGTTACGGTCATGTTGCCTTGTTCAAGGATTTATTTTTTTTTGCGCGCTTTTACGATAGGTTGACGTCCTGGAAGACGGACACGTCCCAGATGCCGGTCATATCGAAGGGAAAGCCGTCCATGGTGCCGAAGGTGCCGGAGATGGACATCATGTCGTCGACGATGTCGTTGTTGGTCTGCGTCTCGGGGAGCGAGATGGCCGCCGGGTTGACGAGACGGCCTGTGGCCGCCGGGTGGTCGGACGCGCCGCCCGCGCCGCCTGCGCCGCCGCCGCCCAACATGCCGCCGCCGAGGCCGATGACCTGGCTGAAGGTCGTGTCGGGGTTGGTGGCACCACCGCCGGCGCCGGTGCCGGCGCTGCCCGGGGGCGCCGCTAGGCGACTGAGGAGCCGTTCGCAGTGGTCCAGGCACATGTCGGCGACGTCCCAGTCCTCGTCCTCGCGGACGCGGCGCAGGATGGCGCGGAAGGTCTCGACGTTGGTGAGGCAGGCCCGCGCGACTTCGTTGTCGGTGGTTTCGAGGGCGCAGCGGACGAGAAGCGTTGCGGTCGTGGTGAGGTGGAATGCGCTGTCTGTTTTGAGGGGGAGGGTTGGGTTGTTAGTCTCTGGCTTGGCTGGCAGAATGGGTCCAGGAGTCACAAAAGTGAGAGAGAGGTGCTTACATGGTAGCCAGAATTCTTGGAAATTCTCCTTGCGAAGAGAGGAGATGAATTGTACAATCTCCTCCGCCGATTTGCGGCATTCAGTCTGGAAATACCGGCGTGCTTCCAGGTTTTCGGTCTCCGAGTTGTTCACCTCCTACGGATTTGTTAGCTTGGCTGGGCAGGAGGTGTCTTGTAGCAGGTGCGTCACTCACGTTCAATTCCACCCGGCTCACTAGCATCTTAACAGCCAGGAACGCTAGTTGAAGACTGCTGGTTCCGGAGATGCGTCCCTCAGAGGTACGTGGAGGGTTTCTCAGCCAGTCAGGCAGCGAGTCCTCCCAGACGTCGAGGTCCGTCCGGATCTGTCTCACTTTCTTGGTGGTTTCGCGCGCGAATCGGTGCTGAAGACCGTAGACAAGGGGCAGTAACTCGCCCAGAATCTCCGTCAATTGGCACAGCGCGATGTGGCAATGCGCGGCTCGGACGCGTTCAGGGGTGCGAGATGCTGGTGGTATAAGTACGTCGATTGTCGGAAGAGGGACGTCGTACTGATTCTTTGCGATCTGTGGCGGTACACCGTGACCGAAGCTCCCCCTGGAACCAATGTCAGTAACCCTTTCTTACTGCGCAGATACGATACCTACCATCGATCGTGGATGACCACTCCCCACCATAAGCGCATGCGATGATTCTTTTCAGCCGGGGACAGTTTCCAATGACTAGGGTCGCGATTGAGTCCGAGACAGTGTGCGAGGGAGACCATACGGCCGCTACTGATCGCATTTCCAGTCATGGAGAAGATCGGGCGACCGGTCAAATCAATAAGGGCGGCGCTTATGGTAGACAGACCAGGGGCGGAGAATTCCTCGTGTAGAGCGGCCACGGTCATATTGACCGCGTAACGGACGTCTGGTTTTGGATGACACGCCAGCTTGGGAGTGTGCTTCCAATACACTAAAGACATCGAATAAACCTGACACAAAAGAGAGGCTGGCGGGTCCCCGGGAGTCTCTGAGATAAAAGCCTCCCAGAAGCTTTCTCCATCGAAGATGGGGAACGCCGCGTTGAACCTGTCAATGAACCTATTTTGGGTGGTTAGTAGGTCATTCCGATCCAATCCGATCCTAGACGGAGACATACAGTCTAACTAGGTCGTGCTTGAAAGGTCCTAAGATCTGCTCCAGAATTTCTTTCTGATTCTCTCCCGGCGGAATACCAACGCGCATTCCCTGTCTTCGTCTCGAAACCGTCGTGTACAAAATGGGCTTCCTTGGATCGCTCGAGTAGACATTATACGTATTGTTCTTCGGTTCTACGGACTTGCTCGTCCGCTCGGTGGGCATGTACTTTTCAATCACTTGGGCGTCGTCAGCCACCACAGGCCCAACAATGAGGACAGACTCATTGTGAGGATCATCGAATCTGGACTCGCTTCCTCGATGGCCACCGGCCGAGTCTGTCTGGGGAACACTGGATGCCCGTGGGCGGCTGCCACTTGCCGGGGAGCCGACTTCTGAGCTGCGCTTACGCTTCTGACCAACAGTCGACACTTGCGCCGGATCTGCGGACCAGCGTTTGGTGTCATGGCCGTCTGAGAGTGGAGCATCCTGGCTGGAATCCTCCTGGTAGTGGCAATCGGCGCCCTGCACGCGACACAACAGACACGACTGGCCGGGTATATCCACAGTGCACCGAGACTTGCGCTTCCTGCACAGATCACATGCCCTGACCTTATGTGACCTGTATGGTCTGGCGCCGGCGTTGAATCCCGGAGAGGCGAGCTTCTGGGTGGAGCTACTCGGAGCTGTCGTCGACGACATGATGAGCCTTCAGCAAACGGGCGACCTGCTCGGGAATTCTTGTGAAGATCATCAACTAATCGTAAGCCAATTGAGGACACTGCAAATCATGCAATCGTGATAGAGGGCGAACACCGTCGAGTGCGAAGCGTGCGTATGGTGGAGGATCGGATCTAGGCCGGCCACCGATGATCGGGGAACAAGCGCTGTACCCGGCTAAATGACTCTGAGAGTGGGAGAGGAAAGCATTGATCCGGGGTAAGCTAGTCGCGAAGCTGCGCCAAGTACTGCATGGTCACTCAGCATACAAAAATCAAACAGGCATTGCGATGAGCGACGAGTTCACTTTTGGGAGAGGGGGTGGTTCGGTCCATCCAGCGCGGGATGATGATTATTATTTCCCTTGCGTTTTCTCCGAATCCGATAAAATCTTCGTTCTTATCGGCTGCTGTGAAGTTGTGGGGAGGAAAAGAGCTGAGTCAGCGGGTCAGACCAACCACGTGCTCCTAAATCGGAGTCCGTATTCACATCGGGTGGACTAGGCCCAAATGGGACTGGACAGGGTCCCCGCGCCCGCCTCAGGCCTATTTCAGGCACCCGTTTCACTTTCTCCCCGCCTGGCACGCGCGAACGGACTTGCAGTGAGCTCACTCATTCATGACTTACCTCTCATCCACTCTCCGAGTACTCCGTACAGCCCAGCTGATTGATTGATTATTTGCTGGACCATGCAGCCAACGCATGGACTTGCTGTCTCTTCTTATGCCTCTTTAGCTTAGCTTAGCCCTGTTTGAGTTTAATCCACTGAAACCGGACCAGACGATCACCGTTGCATTGGTCTACGTTTGGAGAGACACAGCCACCGGGGTCGCTAGTTGGCGCTTCCCGTGCTTTCCACTCACCAGAGTCACCACCACCCACACCACACCCCCCAACGCGCCAAATCCTGCGTTCGGGATCCTGCCAACTTCCCCTACATATTTTCCCGCCATGATGCTGGATGGGTGCAATTGATCCTATAATTGTGTCTGCATTTGTCGTTAGCAAATGTAGACACCCATGGGTTGGACATCGTTGATCATGGATGAGGATGTCCTATTACCTGCGGCTGAGCGGCTCGATGGGCCCCATCAAGACGATGATGACCAGCAACCGACAACATGTTTGATCAAGCTGCAAAGCGATATGATAAAGCAGGAGAAAGAGCTCGCAGGCGAGCAACGTTCCTCACCCTTTGCCCGTTTACCTCGCACAGTCATTGAACAGTAAGTAGTCACTTTCTTCTATTTCTTCTAGCTGGTCGGCTGGGAGGCGCTTGTTCGCTTCTCCATATCGCTCACACGCACTGCGCGGTAACTTGACCTATATGCGGTTCGTTCTTAACGAGTTACACAGTATCCTTTTCGTTGCGGATGCAAACACATTCGCCTCACTAGCCTTACTGAATCGCAAATGGAGGCGGATTTCCGACTCGACTCTGCTATACTCTCATCATTTAGCCCAATGCCCATCTTTCTCTCTGACCCAGAAAGCCATCGCGGAGCCATGTCAGCAGCCATGCGACCTGTCACACCTCAAACAAGTATTTTACACTCAAATCAGACGGAATGCTTTTGAGACCTTCTTGCGACCTCGCAAGACTCTAATCAAGCTGATATCGACCTCGATGAGCTCGTCAACGGCATTTCCGCAGGGCGAAGCTTTCCGGTTCTCTTTCTCCCCCAACGGTCAACTAATCCTGTGTATCAGTTCCTCTCGAATTGTTGTCCTTGACGTCACCTCAAACCCTGCTTCAGTGAAGCATGAACTCAAAACCTGGAGGCGTCCATTACATGCCGCGATCATTGACGACGGGTCTCTGCTTGCGGTGGTTTCTTCTAGCCATCGTGTCAATGTTTACAGTCTTTGTGACGAGGAAGTAAGACTGGTCCAAGACCTAGCCTTGAACGATGTTCCTCGGACGCTAGCACTATCTCCCACGGGAGGTGTGCTTGCTATTGCGTATGATGATCGCATTGAAGTACATGCGACCGGGGAGGGGGTACTGGCCACCGAGAGACGAGCCGTACGCTGCTCTGGCGTCGACTCTGTCTCTTTCTCTGCAGATGGAGCCATGCTTCTTGGCACTTCTGCCGATCCTCAAAATAGTGGCTTGGTCACGATAACAGTACCGTTCTATGCCGAATCGGAGCCGGAACTCTCTCTGAGAGATGTCCATAGACGGATGTGGACTACTCAAATCCTTTTTCCGGATGTTACCACGGGCTTCAGTCGCGCATGTATGCTTCCCCTCCACTCCGAGGGCGAAGGTAGCTGGATCATGGGTTTTGATGAACAAATCAACTCACTCCGAGCGTTTGGGGCCAATAACACTAGCTCAGGTACAACGTACTTTGTGACGCCCATGTCCGATGATGGAACCAGAGAATCTGCCCCTACCATGCTACCTACTGTTGATGCTATGGGGGAACTGGTTGCGGCTGGCTTTGAGGAATCTGGTCTTTGGGTGTATGGCATACCCGATCGTCTGGATATCGCTCCTGTAGCGACTAGTACACGACCACCAGCTGGGTCCGATGGGGAGCTGTGCCACTGGGAACACGAAGGCGCGCTACCTGGTGAAGATTGCTCATCTCGACTGCAGCGGTCGATCACTAAACCAAAAGTACTCATTAAGGGTCATAAGATCAGTGATATGCCGGGCATGACTGCAGCCCACTGGGTGGAATGTACGGGTCTCGCTACAGAAAATCGTCGCTTGGTGGCCGTCGCACCAGGTGGCATCAACCCCCCAACCATTGGCGAAGAAGATGTGCCGGTGGATGGTGGACGAGTCCTTCTGCTGGACTTTGCACGTTCAGCGAGCGATGGCAATTATACCGAGATTAGCATTGAGATCGGTGATGCGGAACCAAAAATGCTTTATGAGCCAGACTCGAGTCTAGACACCGAGGTAGAACTAGAAAGAAGAAGGACTCGCATACACCGTGCAAGCGCTACGTCGCCGCGAGCCAGAGCTTTCGCTAGGGAGTCATATCCGTCGGCCCATTCGGTGTCTCACGCTTCTCGGCCGAATATTCGCCGCAACAGCTCCTTCTTCTCCAGTTCTTCGAATGGAGATGCGTATCATATCCCAGAGTCCCCGTATGACAATGGGCAACCGCGATCTAGGGATACACTGCGTCGTGCTGCGACTGCTGCCGCCAACACGAGGGAACGATATCACCCTCCACATCGCGATGCGCAGTCCCCCATCCACCCGAGACCAGCCTCGCAGACCTTCCAGGTACCTCATGAAAGTGACGCTGACAACTGGGTCCCGCCTCCCCCACCCTATACTCGCGTGCCAGATGCACCTCTCCCTGATCATTTGCGAAGGACTCTGCTACCCTCCAGGACAGAGCCGATCACCCGAGTTGGCGAACCTCCGGCCGAAGTCCAGCGCTCGCAAACCACCCGTCTAGAGAACATGGTCGAAGAATCGTCCTCTCGGGTGTCACTGCACAGATTGAACAGCATCGCGAGCTCGAGGCTCGCTTCTCGCCTAATGCGAAATAGCACCAGAGAGCCCGTATTTCCTGAACGAGCGCGCAGGCAAAACACATTCATGCGCAGGAGAAGAAGTTCAGCCACCGGCGCTCCGCACACCATCGAGGACACGAACGGACTCGCACCGCTGGTCACTCCTTCTCAAGAACATGTCGAGCAGCATATACACTTCCAACTAGAGAGTATAGCCGACTACCCAGCGCAGCCTGACCGATCCGTGCCCTTCCTCTCCACTGACCCATCTCTACCGCCATCGAATTCTCAAGCCAACTACGCCAATCCGTCGCCCGAGCAGCCTACCATGCATGCCCGCATCGACGTTCCGGGAACCATTCCCGCCACGCAGGAGCTCGGCAACACCCGCCAGTACTCCTTCTCCTCTCCCAACCTCCAAGTTCGATCCGCCCTGCAGTACGATGCTCCAGAAGTCCTCCAAGACAGTCATATGCGCTCCGGCTACCCCCACCAGGTGGGCGACCGCCGTCCGCAATCCCAGGACCTTCCACTACCGCTAATAGGGGCCAGCATTCAACCCCTGCACCACCGGGCCTCGACGGATCCCACGCTATCCGCCAGCTCTCAAGCGGCCGCCCATGACCTGTGGAGGAGACGCATAGAGGAGTGGAACGAACAAACTATTTACGAGAGGAGCAAACGACGAAGCAAGTGTATTGTGATGTAGCAGGGCTGCCTTTTCCCATTTTGCTTTTTCGTCAGATCTCGACTCGATTTGGTTTTTTTCTTTCTGGGTTGCATCATTGGTTTCGAAGATTTGGAGTGTATATTGATAGGACCAGGAACATATTTGGGATTGTAGAGCGATGGCGTCGTTTTCTTTGTTCTAGAGTCTGGGACTATTATCTATATGTTACAGGTAAGAAGTTGGCTTCTTGTATATTCAGACGCATTAGGAGGGCCGGGGTTGACCCAGTCTCGTGTGATTGGAATCTAAATGTCTCATTCATATTTCAGCATCCGCGAAACGTGTTTAAATGTGGACTGGCTAAATTTAAGATGTCAGAAGCAAATAATTAGTTACTGATCATTGTCGTCGTGCACGAATTTCAGAGCATACGGAAAGCATGCACACCACAAACATCGCAGTTTAACTGCCCCCGCCCCCTCCACCACAACCTCCCCCTCCGCCTCCACCTCCGCAACCTCCACCACCGCCGCCGCAACCAGCCCCTGCACCACCACCACAACCCCCAACACCACCGCACCCACCCCCAGCACAACCCCCGGAGCAATTCCCTCCCATCCCTCCACAGCTGCCCGCCGCAACCCCACCTCCACACGTCCCCGCCGCACAGTTCCCATGCACCCCTTCCACGAAACTCATACAGCTGGGGTTCGCCACATACGCATCCGCATGCACCCCGGGGTCACAGGTATACGGGGCATAGAAGGGCACGTAGACCGGATACCCCCACAGCAGAGGGTAGTAGCCATAAACGGGGTCCACCCCGGCG